TTATGTTGGAATACTGGTAAACAAAATATATGTACTATATTTGTGTATTAAAAACTTTTATTTTATTGCGGAATCCATTTTATGTGCGTATTTTTGCATATTTACATGTTGTCAGGCAAATTAACATTTTATGCAAAATTCGCGTTGCTTTTTTGAATTTGTTTTCGCTATGCCATAGCCGAAAGCAGCACTGCCTTTTTTAGGTCGCGGAAATTCCGGGGCTGTTGGCAAATAATCCCGGGGTTTTCGGGATTTTTAATTTGCCGTGATGGCAATAATAGAAAATCCTTTTCCTGACCAGTATTGGCTGAATTTCTTTCTTTGTTTAATAATTAATATTTATTTTTTATAATTGTCTAGCTCATTATACATATATGCAAGAGTGAATTTTACACACAAAAATTAATGTATTCACGAAGCCATGGGCCAAATATAGTAAACTTGCGTTTTTAGGGTATCACTCTGCCGTCAGTAATTCAAGAACGATTTAAAAAAAAAATCAGTAAAATTTGCTTAGAGAAGAAGTATGGGTATCAAATTAAAGAGGAAATTATGTGGAATTAAATCAGATGTAATTTTTTGGTGCATACGGACTGGCAAGTATTGAAAATGCCATTTTCAAATTGTATCCTTGAAATTTCGCAATATTTGGTTTTGAAAAAAAACATATGTTAACGACTTATATAAACTCGATAAAATCCTCGAATTTCGTCCTTCTAACTTAATCAGTTTAAAAATTTACCTTTTCGTCCTTGTGAATCCAAACAATTTTTTTTTTTAATTCTAACGAAATTTCCTCTTTCATTTTGTACCCATATTTTTATTCTACATTACATTGAAGATTTTAAATAATTTTTGGAATTAATCATACCTTTGAAATTACAAAGTCCTTTAAAAAAATCCTGACGTCAGAGAGAAAAAATAAAAACGCCACTTTAAATAAAAAAGTAGATTTCAAACCCATTTAGAGAGATAGAAGCAATTTTTTCGATTGAAGTTGTTGAAAAATAAAGAATATCTAAATCCCGGGATTGTGATACCGACATCCCGAAAATCCCGGGATCGTAAAAAGCGAAAAAATTAACATCACAATTCGTTTTAACTGTCACTCTCTCTCTCTCTCTCCCCTCTCAGAGGATCCATTGTACTCTCGAGTAAACGAAGTTAAACTAAAACGAGACGAAGAAAGGACTAATCGGGTAAGAATTCTTGTATCAGGACAACCGAAATTATCAGATGATATAAAACAAATTGAATGTCATATTATTGCAAACGAGGAATTCACAGTAAGCTTGCATTTAATTAAATTGGGTTTTAAAATATATATATTTTTAATAGTAGTAATTTTCGATAACAGCAAACGGTGAACAAGTTAGTTCAAGCAGCGAATGCTTCTAAGCTGATTGGTACCACTTCGTGGAAGGAGCAGTTTGTGGATGCTTTAACCGTTTCAGGTAATAATTTTTTAATGATTGTGCAATCTCTAGTATAGTTTTGTATACACAGCCGAGCTTACTTCTTACCAATAGGTAGTGGCGACTTTAATAGTGAAGAGGATACTGACGAAGACGAAGTAGAGATTGATGAAGATGAAGATATCGAAGAGAAAGTCGGGCCCAGCCGAGGCGAATACTTCATGCATTTTATTTCATTATTCTGGAAAATTTGTTTTGCGGTAATTCCGCCAGCAAGTAAGTCGAGAACGAAAGCTAGCATATTATATGGATTTGGTTAGTTGGTTAGTTGCAGTGCTTCCTAGTTGTTGTTTAGGAATCAATGAGCGTGTTTTTGCGCCATTCTGATGCACTTATTGCGGGGGATATTTTGTCTATTTTGTATGTGTGTACATCCTATGTTGCTTGGTCGAACAATTTCGATTATCTTCTTCTTCGCTCTCTTCTAGATGACAGTTGCTGTTTGTCCAAGTCCTCGTGCTTATCTCGGCTGCAACAAAATAGTGATCCAAGTCAATTTCATATCCTGGGATCGTTTGTACGTAATTAGCCACCTATGTACACGTTTACCGCTGTACTGGCAAGTGATCACTGGTTTGAAAAGTACTCTAACCATTCAGTTATTGGATTAAACTTCTTTAGGGGATTTCATTAATGGCAGTGCTTGTTTAAATTACGCCAGTAAAGATCCAGCGCTGGCCTGGTATGCTACTGGAACAACGTAAATGGGACATAGGTAGGGTGACCACACTCTGATGATTTTTCTTTCGACTCATCTGGTCACCCTAGACATAGGCAAACTGGAAACACATCGTTTGTCTAAGACAACATGATACATTTTTTCGATCTGTTGATAGCTATTAAGACTGATGAATCCCTTTATGCTCCAACCTTGTGCTGCAGGCAACGATATTTTGGGCCACTGTGATGTCGTTAGCCTCAGTCCATTGTCGCACTTTTTGTCATAGAGAATAAATTTTCCGATGATAGGATCAAAGACCCCTTCCTTTCATACGCCCACAAAGTATTTGACGTCGGAATCTCCCTCCCACCGCAAATTCGACATGAAACTTGCGCTCTTTCGCGTTACAGTTCTAGGGGGCATTGCAAGGTCCTTCCTGATCTTCTGTTCTCAAACCATAGTCTTAAATAAGTTCGCAGGGGCTATCGTCGAAAGTAGGGCGTCTTACGGCTTTCTGCGTCAATCCTCACTTTGCAGCTTTTAAAATATATATAGCGCTTATCATAATTATACGAACATATACCACGATTTTTTTATATACATAGATAAAATGAGCAATACCTTAAACAGAATTTAAAAAAATAAATGGTAAGTCTTAGCTAATTCAAACTTCCACTTTCTTATACTAGACTTGAATAGGCTATAAAAGAGCATACTCAAAATCTTTTTAAAAACCTAGACATTTTTAAGAAAGTTTGTTGATTTTTTTTTTTATATTTCGCAAACTTGTAAATTTGGATTTATACAGTTTTTGTGAAAGAATGAAGTATATTTTTTACAAAAATAATTAAAATTAATTAATAAAAAAATTAATAATCAAAATTTGCCAATATGCGGGTGGCATATAATTGTGGTAAGCGCCATTAATTTGTAGTTGCACTCCCGGCACGAGAAAACTTGTTTTTTAATTGAGTCAAGACTGTTTTACATAATGCATCGATATGCTAACTATTTTCTTATCGTTGCTTATCGAGCTGAGTAACTATCTTATAATTTCAGAGCTGCATGATGGATATCCGTGTTTCTTTGTTTCAATAATTCTGATAGCGATATGCACAGCTGTGCTCGGCGATGTCGCATCGCATTTCGGTTGTACGTTGGGTGTACTCGATTCGGTCACAGCTATATGCTTTGTAGCGCTCGGTACCAGTTTGCCAGGTAAATTATAAATTATAAACTACAATCTGATTCACTCAGTTAATTAAAAGAATTAATAACTAAGTACTATAGTTACATATGTACAAGACACTGTGCGAGAAAAAATCAAAAAATTTCAAAGCACACAAAAAAAGATCAATATACATACTCCCGAAACTACGGACCAAATGTGTATAATAAACCAGCGCTTTATGTTTGTCTCTCTGACGTTATTACAAATTTTTTTTTTTTTAATTTCTTTGAAGCTTTTAAAGATATGATTCAATGCGAATTCATAAAAGGTGGTCTTAACGGAATAAGTGGATTTTTGCCGCTGTTTTGCTGAAAGTCAAAATGATATGGTTGTTGTAATTCATACTGTTACTGTGCGTGAAATATGTTAATGTAATTTTATGTTTTTGTACTTCTGCTACGAACTTATATGAATTCGCCTTGGTGGAGTTACTAGAACAGTTGAACTAATTTGCCTTCGCACACAAATGTCAATGACTTATATATCGACAGAGTGAGTAAAATTAAGCAAAAACAAAATATATGTAATTTTTTGTTTTTGGTCCAATCCCACCACCTTATATGAATTCGCCTTGATGTGTGATTTTAAAAATTCAGTGCAACGCACAATAATAATGTGAATACCGAATGAAAGAAAAAACTCTACATATTAAAAACAAAAATAAATTTTGTCTCACAAGGGCGAATAGTTTTTGGGATTGCCCCTTTTTAATTACTATTTTTTATCCTAAACTAATAAAGTTAGAAGGACGAAATTTTAGATCTTTTTCAATTCTACAGAATTTTACCTTTCATTTGGTACCCATATTGATGTTCTACATGTACATTGCGCTGCATACGCTGAATAATATCCTGGAAATATCACAGCGCCGGTGAAGAAATCCTGACCACTCAGAGAAATAC